CTGATAATGTGACAATATTTTAGAAGCTTTTTATTAAATTCGTAATATTTTTACCCAATGAATAAATTTTATTAACACTTATAGAAAAAAAAAACTAGAATATTTGGAAACTAAAAATGTTYATACACAGTTAAAAACAATTCAAAATATTTTGAAAATTTTATGGTRTATAGAAAGTGCCAGTGTAAAAGATAATTTTTTGTATCTATGGTCATTTGTTATAGAATTACACCAAAAACCAAAATCGATTTTGTGTAAAAATTCATATTTTTCCTTAATATTTTATTTGTATTTCCTGCTGATTTTGAAAACTATTTGATATTTTTGACTTTTAACCTTCCTGAGTACCAACTTGATTCACTTTTCTTCCAGAAAAGTTATTGTTGAAGAAAATCAAAGCATTTTTACTATTCAATGACCGACAAAAAAAAAAAAAAAACGCAAATTATTGTTAATATATTCATCGTTTCGCTCAGAATCCAAAATGTGTTTATTATACAGCACCCTTTTTATATAATATACTATAAATAAGTTTGCATTATTATGTTACCTATTAAAATTATTTTTGTTATTATTCAATTAGTATCGGTTGGTTGTAGTAGAAGTATTTGAACTTTTAAAGACATTTGGTTCGTCTGTTAAACCTGTTATGTTTGTTGGTCAATCTGCTAAAGAAAAAGGTGGTCTGCCACAAAAAAAACAATTGGAGGTAAATGAAGATAAAAAATTATTTTATCATAATATAGTTTATAGTCATTGTATAAAATACTACTTATTCTAATATTTTGGAACAGGTGATGAGTCGGTTTAAAAACGGAGATTTCAATGTATTAATTGCTACAAGTGTTGCTGAAGAAGGTCTGGATATTGGAGAAGTCGACTTGATAATTTGTTTGGAAGCTAACAAATCTCCAATAAAATTTGTACAACGACTCGGCCGAACTGGACGTAAACGATCTGGAAAATGTATTACTTTACTGACTGAAGGAAAAGAACAAATTGTAAATATTTTATACAATATTATGCTTATGTTATTGATTAATTGATTTACTTTGTGTGCAGTTACTGACTACTAATTGCATGTAAAATAAATTGTTAAATTTTGGAAGCCAGTAGTTGTCTACCAATTTCCTTATGTGCTAATAATTTAGATAATACCTAAGCTAAAATATTACTATAATGAGTATAAAATATACAGATAAAATATATGAAAGAATGAGTATCTAAATAAATGTATTATATTTTTATGTTTAGAAATACAATTCTAGTGTTTCTTCGAGTAAAACACTTGTAATCAAAATGTTGAAAAACAAAGCAATACTTTCTAAGTTAGCTCCTGAAGGACCAAGATTGGTGCCAAAACGTGAGTGTTTTATACTTTAAACAATAATCATTAAAAAATGTGCTAAAGCCTAAAACCAATAATACTTACTGTTTGTAAATAAGTACACTCTGTGGTTTATTAATTAAAATAAGTTCAATGTTCTTAGATATCCATCCACAATGTTTAATGATTCATGTAAAAGAACCAGAAGAGCTTTTTCCAGAAAAGAAAAAAAATAAAGGGAAGAGAAAAGCAGTTGAAAATCTTATGAACTATGTAGAACCTAATGATGGTCAAAATGAAGTAAATGAAGATGGACTCGATGTTTTTCAAAACCATATAGGTATAAGTCGTGGACAGCATGCCATCAGTTATTTTATTAAATTACAATTACATCTTGAATATAAGAGTTATGCGTAGACTTTATGTGCTTAAAAAGTACGAATATGCTTTAAAAATATACACTTTTTTTAATGTAACATATTAATAAGTAATTAATAATAATAACTACACTCATAGTTAATACTCTTAGGTTGCTGAATTGTATGTACCTTTTGTACTAAAAAGTACAAAAATGTTAAAATAATACAAATATTAGTAAATATTTATTTTCAATTTTTAAACACTATTTCCAGGTATTATATACATTAATTAAAATGAATAAATGGTAGTTATAGTATACAAATAGAATTAATCGTATTTTTGAAGAAGATATTTCTACTATTTCTAGTGTACACATATTAATAAATTATATCGTACTAGAAATTTAAAAATACTGATATAATAATACCTAATACCTAATGAAAACTTAAAATTTTCAAATTATCAATTAATTATTTTTCATTAATGATAAAATATGCTTTAAAAAGTAATCAAATTAAGAAATACCTATACTTTTAAAACTTCTGAATCACTAAATATGCTAAAATATGCACTATAAACTTTAAATATTTTATTCATGGTGTTCTGAAACTAACTTCAAGCTTATTTAGCAATAAATGTAATACCCTACAAAAAAATATGCAATTGCAATAACTTCCGAGCCCTACGTTATAAATAATAGAATAATTGCAATATTATTATTTATTATTTAATAATTAAGGGTCTCCAAACAAAGTKCCGTAACAAGTTTTTAATTATTATCATATATAACTATAAGTATCATTAATATACTTGAAATCTTCTTCATCTTCWCTTTTTTTACCCTTCAATASAAATTATATTTGGTGAGCCACCATAGTCTTACATCTCCATAAGGTTCTGACCCTCTGTCCTTTAGCTCTTCTTAACTCACATCATCTATTTTTATGTCATTCTATTTTCTATCTATCCATATCTTTTTCAATATTATTCTCCTTCTGCTTGCTTYTACATTCATTTATAGCCACTCTCATTACCCATCCAACATGATCAAACTATTTCAACATATTTTTCCTTATTATCATCTACATACATGATGTACCACATTACTCTTCATCCTGTACACTGTATATCTCTTGTAGTTAGGCCCATTACTAAGTAGCAGGCTAAAGGCTGAAGGCTAAACCCTGTTACTCTTGTGCTAAATTTATTTGTTTTTCTACATACATTCAACAATTTATTTTAAGATACTTGATATATTTCAAATTAAATTTCTTACAATATAGGATATATTAGTGTACATTTTCTTGTAGTATAATATGTTATGGAYCATGGTTATGAAATTAGAAGTAATATCTTAAAAATATAAACATATATAATTTTTACTATAAAAAACATAAGTAACTCTTTATTATAAAATTTTGTCAATTAAATAAGTTATACAAAAATAATTTAACTTATTTTTTAAAGAAATTTTGTTATTTGTTTCAYGTGTGAATGTTAATAAATGTCAAATGTAATGACTTAATTTTGATCTTAAAACATTTTATATAGTGTTCAAAAAGTTTGGAAAAAGTCATTAGGATTATTAGGGGTGGTAAATGATATGATATAATTAATACTGTGGTTAAATATTTTACCTAATAAATTTTCAGCAGTTTCATCTATTATTGCTATATGTAGTCATGTAGGTATAAAAATATGCAAATAGTCATGAAAGCATTTCTAATTTTTTTGAATACCTTGTATATATAATTATTATACGTTAATAATTGTTGGACAATAAGATCTTATTGTTTCAGAATATAAATCAAATGAAAAGTAGTATTGTATTTATTAACAACTTATAGTAACATTAAAACTTTTCATATTAATATAATAACAGCCTAATCTTTACTCTCACTATCTCTGAATGGTTATTGATACTTAATAATCTAATCGGTTCTGGGTATTACATTGTTRTTTTATTATGACCCATACTTATTTTTTGCATATGAGCTATTGAGATATGTGTAGATAATTAATTTTGATAGTACTRAACAACAAATAGGTGACTATATTTTCTAATGAAAAATTTGTATTTCTTCTACCTTAGTGTTATTTTGATATGTAGTATTCACTATTCAAAAATCAGCAGWGTATTAATTAGTTGCGCTGTATAACTTGGTGTGTTTTTGTACTTCGATATAACATTTGTTCACCATTCGTTGGCTCTAACGTATGTTCCATTTAGAGAATCAGTCCACAATATTAGGCTATACATTATATTTACTAATAATTTTTCTAACAAAATTAGTAATTAAAAAGAAAAATATATTGTTGTATGTAAAATTGAATACTTGTTTTAGATAAACCGAAAAAGAGATCTAAAAAACGAAAAACCGTCGAGTTTGATACAAACGAAAATGGCTGTACAGGAATCGGACAACTCAAACAAAAAAATACCGACCTAGATTTCGAACATAATTCAAATGATTGCTATTATAACGCACCCGAAATCAACTCGCATGGTGTAACCGACAAGACTTTGGAACGCTTTGTCGACGAAGAAAAAGCGTTTAACAAATGGCTTAAGTCGTGCATGCAGACCAATGCTATTGTGTTGAATAGCTCATTTTTAGAACTTTTAAATTTTTTTACTGACCGTGGCACATGTGATGTTGAACTTTTCAACGACAAACCKACAGAAGGCATGTTTATGGAGCAAACTGGCGTTTGTAAAATATTTAAAGGTCCGTCGGTCAGTACTGAGCGCACGGTCCATGAAAACGATCAGCCAAAGAAAAACGCCGATCGTTCGTTCCGATTTAGTGTTGATGTCCGACAAGGTAGTTCACAGGTAGCCAGCACATCTGCAGCTCGTGAAATAAACAATTATTCGGAAAATACAGACTCCGAAGACATGTTCGATGGATACATAGACCACTCGACTGTCATGCGACCGATTGGTAAACAAACATCGGCAATTTGTGGTGACAGTCACGATACGAAACCCGACCAAAACATTCATACGAGAAAACTCAATTTCATTGATCTATTCAAAAGTCAACTGGCTGAAACCGAYGATTTCATGAATAAGAATACGAGTTTCTCAGTACGGCCGCCCTCTGTAGATAACGACGATGGCAGTCGTTCGAACGATCTTGTCGTAAACTACGTAGATGACGACAATTCCTCATTAGATATTGAGACTGGAACTGTTATACGTGACGATAACCTAGATGAMGATGATGAAGTCACGGGAGAACTTGATTTCGAAGAATTATTCAAGAGTCAGAGGACCGATAGGCTCATCGAAAAGTACACCGAAGAAATCGTCTCTGAACGACCTAAAATGGATCATTCGGCAGCAGTCATTAGTGGCGGTGCTAAAAAAATTGAAACGTGCCATGAGGGAAAAATTGACGACGAAGTAATGTTTGASATTACAGAGATTCAGAGATCCAATAATTGTATGGAAAAGAACATTTCCGTCGGACGACAGAACGTTGATCGATCGATCGCCATCGATGGCCGAAAGAGTCCTGTCGTATGTGGTGGGAAGAAAAAGGCTGTTAAATCCGGTCATCAGTCAACCGGAAAAATGGATTTCAGTGTATTGTACAAGAACCAAAGATCTGATGGGTACATTGAAGACTTCATGGTGAGAAAAATAGCACCCAGAGTTCGGCCGTCGAATACAGTCGATCGCGTATTACTCGACGTCGATGATGACCAAGATAAAAATGGCAAATTGATGGAGAACATTGATTCCGAAAAACTCTGCAAGGAAAAAAGCACCAAATCATCCTCAAAACTATCGAACGTCAATCGATCGATCATAAACGGTGGCCGGAAAAGTCCAGTCGTATGTGGTGGAACGTTGGGTAAAGTCGACTACGATGCACTGTTCAAGAGCCAACGGGCCGACGAATACATCAAAGACAACACTGATAAGACTGTAGCAAAAGAAGCCGGAGTGRCGGATGGTTTGCCTGGCTCGGATGCTTGGGTTGACGACGACGATGACGACGTTATTTTCTTAAACAGTTCTCAAGAATTTTTCAGTTGCAGACCGCCGAAGAAGACTACCCAGACGAAACTGACGGGTCATGTTCGTGTTGACCGCCCCATCGAAATCATCGACTTGTCATCGCCGCCACTAARCTCATCGTGTACCGCAACCGCATCCGCCATCAGTGGTTCAATTGCAAAAGACATGATTCCGACTGGCAGCGTCTCGAAATCAGGTGCTGGCGTCAATGGTCTGCTGCAGTTGAACGACGACGAAGACATGGATTTTATGTTCATCGATTACAACARTGACGGTGATGCTGCTGTAGACGTTTTTACGCAGAAACACAGGAACGGTGGTGATGCAGAAATTTTCACTCAGAAACAGCCGGAAAGCGGTGATGCAGACATTTTCACTCAGAAACAGCCGGATGATGGTGATGCAGACGTTTTCACGCAAAAACACCGGGACRACAGTAAAGTGGATTTGTTCACTAAGAATCAACGGGACGGCAGCGGGACGACGGCCGCGGTCAGTCTTCCATTATCCTCCCACGTTTCTGCAACGAAACCGGCGCTTAAGGGTGACGTGACMAAGCGCGCCAGTAACTCCACACAATCATACGACAACGGCATGATGCCATTCAACATCATGAAAGCTGCACGATTAGTTGATTTGCTTAAGCCGGGTTTGAGCATGAAGAGGAACATGACTGCGTCTAAACGAAAAAGCGACAGCGGCTCGCCGGGGGTTGCACTGAAACGACAAGTTGACAAAGGATGCACCGCGGCGGCATCTAARCGAAAGGTCGACAACGGCTCTCCGGTGGTTGCACTGAAACGACAAGTTGACAAAGAATGCACCTCGGGGGAGTTCAAACGACAGAACGACAACGGCTCGCCGTTGGTTGCGCATAAACGACAKGTCAATATCGCCTCGCCAGTGTCGATGTTCAAACGAAAAGTCGAAAACGGCTCACCGGTGACAGGGAACAAACGACGATTTGACAGCGGTTCGATGACGGCGTTGGAGTTGAAAAGAAAAACCGGCCGAAGTCCAGCCGACATGTCGCCCATACATCCTCCGAATCGTCAGCGGCAGCGTCCTCAGTTTTCGCAGTCTACTCCTAAAGTTTCCGTGAACCCGAAACAACGACGACAAGAAGCCGTCACCACCTTGGCCACCACAGTCACTACCACTAGAAAGGTCAACTCTTTGTTGACGTCTAGCAGTGACTCTGACGCTTTCGTCGGCTACGGGTGCGTCGAAAATACTACCAGCCCGCGCCGCCGTATGAAGAAAAAACGCCGAAGGAAACCGAAAAAGGTCAGTATACTAATAATTAATGATTATTATTTGACTGGCTTCATCGTTAGCAGTCGCTTCGATTAAATTGGGAGATTCCCGTGTAAGGCTAAATATATTACAATGAGTAGACGAGTAGAGCCTTGATTTGAATGTCCTAATAACTAACTAAAATTTCTCTAAAAATAGCAATGAATGTATTCAACCAGAATAATCTCCTTTAATTTATAAATACATATAATGTATGA